TTACGAGCTTTCCCATCGAAATGATGTATGGTTGATGTTCGGATGACCGCACCCCAGGTGGAATGAAATATCCACTACTTACGGCGCATGTCAACTTACATGCTAGTTTGTCGGAAACCTCTCAATGTAAACCTGTCAAGGCAGTCCGTATGTTTTAGTCATTGAACATCATGGCGTCTTCAGGGGGCAATCTAGCTTCGCGTGTAGGGCACAGGGGGTCGGACTGTAGATCGCATATGGTCTCTGATCGGTAGCCCGTACCACGAAACACGGTGGAAAACCGAGCACTCACTCGTCTGGTAGAAGACAGCCTGTCCACCACGAAGGGGCGCACCACGAAAAGTACAAAAAATGCCTGCAGTGCAGTGCAGTGCGATATCGAACGGGGATGTCAAAAACTTCTTAAGAACTTACATATGCCTTGTATCGACAAGAGACAACTCGGCATACAACGAAGGTTGGACGATAAACGTTTAACGCCGATATGGACGGATTGAGTAAACAAAAGTGTGCTTGCAAATATAGATAACGCTTTTTCACGGAGTTCTTGCGAGATATTGCCAAAAATGGTTTAAAATATGCGTAGGCCGATGAAGCCGCGACGGCGAGAATGAATCTAGAATGACGAGAACGGCATGCAAGGGGAAAATATTTTCGAAAGAAGCGAGAATTACGTATCTTCTAAAGAAGCGAGGGTTACGGCGACATTTGGGCCAAACCTACCACCCTATTGCAAATACTCACAGCTACATTTGTGTCGAACCACATTGGATGTCATGGACCGCAACACACGAGTGAATCACGTTATCCGCAACAACTGCCGGTGAATGAAATCCTCCCCAAGAATTATTGAAATCTGGAACTACAGGAGTTGCCGACAGACAGAATGGGTAGTGAGCAACACGACATGCACAGCCAGACATACCTGAGGATCCAGCCGAGGTCCGCACAGTATCCTGGCCATGTAACCGTAGGTGACGCCCACCCACATCCATGGCACCCCCTTCCAGGCTAGGTAGGACGCCAATGGCATGTAGAGAGCCGTGAAGCAGTTGTTGACTGGGCTCGGGAAGGAAAAAATGTGTTCGTCGTTAATCCATCCTTTCAGGATCCAGAGCGAGACGGGGGGCTCCGTTGCGTGGGCGACGGGACGAGAGTTTTGTACTCAACGGCATTCCATCCTGAACGTATGGGATGCCAGAAATGAAATAGGATATTGTTGGGGGGGGCATCGGAACTCCCGTGTAGGGTGAGCCTAGAGGCCTTGCACCGTTCCAGTCGACCACAGTCAGACGGGGGTGAGGGACGCATGGGTCACTGCAGAGATTGAAATCCTTCGATCGTGCATCAATATTGCTCGTACCGACTAGGCTGAGAGATGGCGCTTGTGTGATTCTGGGCGCTCATCCTTTTCTCGTCTCTGATACAAATATCATGTGAGTGATACGTCGGAGAGACTAACCGGCCCAACGTAAGACAGGTACATTCGCTGAACGTATAGTCTACCGTAAGTTGAACAAGATGCCAGCGCGATAGAATTGTTTCGGAATTGAAATATAGGTGCGGTATTGTGTAAGTGGTGTGGGACATCTTATTGCACCCGTGTGAGGAAGTCCACTCACAGCATCGCACCTACAGGGGGGGATACAGCCATGGGGTGTTGCAATGTGTCCCACGCAATGCAGTGCACTCACAGGGCACCGCCTGGAACGGGGGGGGGGGGTACTCATAGTCCTGCACGCCGTACTCGTTAGACCATTGACCTCGCACATCACCAAGCGCGAAGCGCCGTGAGGTATTCGGCGAGTCGCATGGAGGTTGCTACATCCTGCTAAGGGTGTTCGGCATGATATGCTTGCTTCCTTGCGTACGGATGACAGCTGCGTATGACTTCTTTTTTCTGGTGCTTTCACTTCCAGAGACAGTTGCAAGCACTGTATAGCTGCCTTGAGGGTGCTCTTCCAATTTTAACACAACATAGTGCGATCATCCCCTTTGCGCGGAGTGAAGGTTCACGAGCCCACACAACATGATCCACTTGACTATCATTATGGTTACGAAAACCGAGAACATGCGGGGAGGGGGTGAAAACAAGTGTGACAATATTTAACGTCAACCGTGTGTGAAGGACTGCGTTTAGAGCAGGGCGACCCCAGATATTTCGACAATGCAGTTTATATGAAAGCAAGGCTTCGTCACAAAATGGGAGCGAAAAAGGTCGCACTTGTGGAAAATCGCGCTAAAAAGAAGGAACCCACACACAGATTGTGTTGATTGGGTTAGAAAAAAGAGGGTAAACGCGGGGGTGATAGCCAAGACGACACTCGCCGCTTCATCACGTGCTTCCCGTATTCTCACAATGTTTCCTTTGGAATGCCTCGCACACAATACAAGCACGAACGAACGCTGCCGGTGTATGTGTTCGAACACGGCAACGCAGTACCTGAATGAAAAGGCTCTCACGCAACGCATTGTCAGCCTTGCGTTCATTACTTAACGGTGGGACTATAGAGGACACAAGCAAACGCCAGCAACAAACCAACCAAAGCTACAAGAAAAAGCAAGACGATCGGCCGTCCATAGCATAACACAGGATGAAAAAGGAATGGCGCTCTATTCTGGCTCGAATCGCAGCTGTGACTCACTCGACCATGGCATACATGCACAATTCGCCACGGGGCCACACATTCCCCCGCGGCGGGTTAAAAACTCGGCGGTTTTACCTCCCACCATGAACATACCGCCTGGCCTGGCGGGCGGTAGTGCCCGTTTACCGCCGTTATTTCGGTTTTTCCGGGTTGGAGTACTCTTCTGGGGCTCATTGATATCAAATTTGAAGAAGAGTGTACCCATGGTTGGCTTGTGACCACGGAAGGCGTCCGCATTAGTTGGACAGTACGGATGTTAGAAGGTACTACAGAAGCGGAGAACGGAACGTTTTTTTCGTGTGAAGGCAACAACAACAACAACAACAACCGCCTCCGCCAAACCAGCCGTTACCCTCAAAAAGCGCAATTCGGCCTACCGCCACCACAACTACCATAGCACCGAAGATTACCACCATGTGACATTACCGTCTAACAACTACCGCCGGGTACGCACATAACCGCCAACGGGAAAGTGACCTGTAGGGTGAGTTGCCAGAGGCCACGTTCCGTTGAGGCGCGAATCAATTTGATCAGTATTACCGTTGTCCCCCAGCTTTCACACCATAACGTTACCATCACTGGTGAAAATGCGACAAACAACCGTTCGAAGTACGGGTGCGTACAGTGTTAACGGTCGGGGAAGAGATTCCCTTTCGTTCGAGCGTCGTAGTGTGCACAGCAGTTGACGCCTTGTTTGGTGCCGCCTGAGGTTTCGACCGTATGGCGTATATTGCCGCCGATTTTTTCCGCCTGACGTTTTTAGTATATCCTCCACCAAAGGCGCTACCGCCGACAACCCCAGCTACCGATGGCCTACCACCAAAGCATTTCCGCCGTATGGTGGTGCCGCCGGAAAATCACCCCCGTTTCTTGTTCTATCGCCTCTGTCAAAGTAATTTCCGCCAAAAATCACAACGCCGCGTACGGCCAAAACACAAACCGTGGTCCTGCGGTATGGCCTTGCCGCCGAGAACGTGTCCGCCAAAAACAGCGTTACTGTGAAAATCTTTGGAAAATACGACGCTTTGGAGCCTGGGGTTGCCCGGGAGTCTGCCCCGAAGTACCGTCTGAGCCGCGGGAGGCTTTCAGCATCGGCGTCGTTAACGGCGTCCCCTTGCCACTGCATTTTTGGCGTTCACTCTTGTGGCGTGCAGGTTGCTTGCGCTTGTGTGCGTGCTTGTCATCACGTGCTGTCGCACCTTGTGGCAAGCTTGCGTGTAATAAGCGGGAGTTTCGTGGCCATTACATGTGTGGCTCAACTTTAGGGGGTCACGTATCTCGTGTCACCACGTGAAAAAATTGCGCAATTTCCGGGGCTCAATATGCAAAGTTGTCGAACGGGATGTTGTATCATACTTCGTATCATGATATCTATATGATGGTTGTCGTGTCGTGACACATTACTTGTGTTTCAGTATGGACATCCGAAGGGGCTAAAACATTTTTTTCGGGTACAGCAGTATGGACCAGACATCGACCACCCAAGAACGTTTGCCTACCGCAACGACCATGACTGAATGGGATACCTCCTGCGACGACGAAGCACACTTCAATGCGAAGTGAACAGCCGTCTTCGTGTCGTGCACCTGTCACATGATGCTGTCGACCAACAGATGCACGAATAGGTGTCGCCCCATTGTGTTTGCCGCGCGAAGGGACTCCCGGGGAGTATATCCTACATGGGTACTACTACAACGAAACCGAGACGTAACGATTGACACGGCAATACCCGCTCCGTGCCGTGACAGAATTGTTCTTATGCTCGAATCAGAGCGTAGCACCTCCTGTCGACGAACACGTGAGATGAGTGTGAATGAGTGATGGACGAGGCGTGTGTCCACTGAAAAACTGTCGCAGGAGCCAGCAAGCAGTAAAATGTGGTGTGCCTACTTCTTATTATTTGGGCGCGGCAGACGATCGAGCCAACTATGTGGCAAGGTTGCAATAGAGATCTTCGGGTCGATGGCTCTCGACTAGAAAGAGGTTTGTTTTGGCAGCGAATTTTAGCGGAACTTCACGGACGACGCGTGAGTGCCTGCACGTCTGAACGAACGTTGCCTGAACACACAAAAAACGGGCAAACGGTCACGCCCGTGACGCCACGCTGTGTTACTTCTGAAAAAGACTCAAAAAAACGCTCAGAGAGAGGCAGTCCGGTCTTCTTCCGCAAGCAGTTTCTTTTATGTGTTTGTGTGTAGACTTTTTCTCTTTGGTTGCCACCATTATTTAGACAAATAGAGTACGGTCGTCTTCCTTTTTCTTCTCATTCTTCACTTCCTCCTAAACCCTCACCGCCATCCGTCTCGCTATGGCCGCCCGCCCCATTGGGGGGCGGGGGGGCGATCCTTAACCCTACTGTAGTATATATGAGTGCGGTGATTTTATGCAACCAAGGGTGACAGGAAAGAGATCGCTGGAAGAAGCTGAGGCTTTGGAATCAAAGAAAACGTCAACCAATTTCCCCCCCAACATACCTGCATCCACCATATGGCCTCCAGCCGGGCAGCTCTGAGATGACGTTGCGCAACGATGAAGTCCTTGTAGCGGGCGTAGTTGTCGGCCCTTACCATTGCCAGAATGGCGTTGTAGGCACCGTCAAGGCAGCCTCGATCCGACGGCTCCATTAAGGGATCCTGCGCACAGAGGTGGGTGAAACATTTGTGACACATGTCCTCCCTTGTCAGGGGCTGGACGCCGAATGCGTGAGGACAAGAAATATCAGTTGCATCGGCGTCCCTTCGCCAAGGTGATCTGATGGTGATCTCCGGACATCTGCGTAGCAGTGTGGTTAGATTCTCGTTCTGGAGGAAGGTTTCCTGCAACTTGCGGTGGAAAACGACAAATTTCGCGACTTGCACATACACTTCGACTTCACAAGGGAACGGGACGGCTGAACCCTTCTCTCTTCCCGCGCAAAAAAAACAAGGGCCAGTACCGCACGGCGAACGGTGGGGCCGTAAAACAACATACTTGGTTCGAAGTTTTAGGAAAAGCTCACGGATCTACATCTTTCTTGTAACTGTGCTTGATCACAGAGGCCAACATCTACGACGTGACAACGACAACGAAAGCAATAATAATATCACCATGAACAACAACAAACAAACCTGATCAAGAACATTTGCCACTCTCGCCTCCGTCTCCTTCCGTTCTTTGTCGCTTAGGTTCACCTCCGACGGAGAGTTTGCCCCGACGTACTCGGTCATGATGTGCAAGACGTGCGATCTGTATTGTTCCTTTTCCCGCTGCCCACGCAGCGTGTTGACCTGAAGGGACAGGCGGTCATGCTTCGTCACGAACCCGTGGGAAGAGCTCGAGGTATGTGCGCTACATATAATGGGGTCGTTCTCGTGATCGAGCTCATTGGACGGCATATTCATATGACCTAACCCACGGCCCATCGCGAGCACATTCCGACCATGCTATTGCCCACGAGGTCCATTGGTCTTTGTCCACCTCACGACTGCCATGATTTTGATGAGTCGTCACGGGTGGTCATGAGTCGTAACGGCTAACCGATGGGTCTCCGACTGCCCGTGGCCACGCAATGGTTCTCCTTAAGCCATCCGACTACGTGAGCCGATGGGACATCCCAGGGCCACCCACGGGCTGCTCATGAGCCATGAAGGGCGTCCATGGGACTCCAATTGGGCGTCACGTGATGTCCATGGGCCGCCCATGAGCCGGACATGGGTCGTTATAGGCCAACCACGCGCCGCCCGTAGGTAGCCAAGCAACGTCGTTCGGGGTTGGCGTGGTATTGTCACTTCTACGATGTCATTTGGACGGCCCACGGATTGTCACTGATGTTGGCTGGCCCATGGGCGGCCCATTGACGGCCTATTGGCCGTAACCGTTCAGGCTAGTCACGGCGGCTCGTTAGGGCCCTTCAGCACCATGTTGACCGGGAAAAGGAACCAAAATAGAGGAAGTCGGATTTTTGTACGTGTAATATTTATTCGCCGTTAGTGTTCGTTTTTACTTCCCTGGCTGTACAACGTCGCTAAAACCATCTGCAATAGAACAACACACATTGTGCTCGGATTTATCCCCGAGATAGGTGTGCTAGACGATTGTGTACCGTACGCGTACTACCGGGGTGACAGGGGGTACGCAACGAACACCACCGGGATCCACTCACCTCTTCAAGAAACGTCAGGTTTTCAGCAAAAAAGTTCTTCTTCGCATAGGCCAAGAACGAATCCAGGTCGAAGGGCCTCTCTGTGTACGCGCGGGATAGCACGTCTTCCAGAGGAGGCGCGGTGTCCACGACGACGGTTCTACGCTCGGCCGCCACATGAGCCTTGTCCACCATGCCTCCGCCTGTCCGCTGCGCGTGATGTTGAATGAATGGTGTCGAATCGGGCGTTGGCTGGTTGAGAATGAGCATGGGGTGTTGGTCTGTCTTCCGACGAATAGAAACGGCTGTTCCGCCAAGTGCCCGTTTCGTATCACATGGTGCGCCCACATGTGTGTGCTTCATTGTTTACAACCGTCGATAGCGCAAAACACCGACCAAAGAAAGACATCACAGTCTTACAGCAGGACAACAACGGGAACGTACTTCTCTAGTCGATGGGCTCCCCCGAAAAGGGAGGCGCGGAAGCGTTGGACGACAGGTCCACTCTCCGGATTCAGCCGTCCACCCATCCGAAAGCACGTGTGAAACGTGTTCGACGCACGAACGACAACTGAGTCAGGTGCACAAAAGCTGGCCAGGAAATACTACTTGAAAGTTCAGCAACATCATCGGGAACAGATGTGCTTGCCAATTGACGGAAACACGCGGATGCAGAGTCTTCCGACACCACCACCGGTGTGTGCGTCTGAAACGTTCGGGTACGAATTGAGCCAGGAATAAAATGGAGCTGGTCTGTAATAACCGTACGTTAGCCGGAGCGAATATTTAATAACGTTAGCCGGAGCGAATATTGAATACATTCTCTTCGGCCATTCCTGAAAGATGACACCTGTAGGCTGCCGGCCAGGAGGGTTTGCGAACAAGCAATGGCCACGCGAGAGGAAACTATCCCCACCTATTGACTGTGCATCGCACCTTCCACCAGTACTCATCCGAATTTGGGACCCGTCTATTATTTATGAAGTCCCGCGAGTGCGAGTATCTGCGTATGAGAACTTCCAGATTGCGCAACAAGATAGATACGAACGCAAAGAAAGGTGTAACGGTATCGATAGGATACCCACAAGAAATGTTGTACTTTGTACATAAGCATACACACTTCGTACTTGGAAGTACTTCGTAAATGTTTTGCACCATCCTCCCCGAAAAAGCCGGGAGCACAAGAAAGAGGCAGAGAAAAAGGGCAGACGGGTGGAAGGGGCAGAGCTCTCGAGGGACAAGCGAGAGCGTCACGAAAACCACGATATAGACTTTTTCGTGTGTTGCGCACATCTCCGTTCGCCTCTTGCAGTGAGTGGGCCGCACTGTCCGACAAGCATAACCCTGAAACCCTTTAGTCTAGGTGATCATCACGTAGGTGCGGATAGTCTTATTGTCGTTCTCCAACGCAAAATACTCGTGGCCGCGGGATTACGAACGAGTGTTACTCCCTGCATACCACATGTATCCATCCATCCATCCCAAGCACGGGGCTGTAAGTACTGGGAGGTGGGGGGGAGGGTGCGATGGAGGTCGTACGTTCTATGTACAGTAATCGACCTTTCAAAATTCCGTGCGAAGGGGTTGACATCTAGTCCATGCCACCCGCGGCAGTCACATTTACCCGCCCCCCAAAAGAAGTGGCCTGCGTAGACCAAGATGGAGCGGGGAGTTTGGGGGTTCAGCAGTTGCTATGGATTAGACTTGGTGGTACCAACTTTGCCCCATATTACAGGATTGCGGGTGGGGGTATGTATGTATGTGTGTGTCAACAACGGATATATGTGGTGTTTGTGTTCTGTGGCTCCTCACTTGTTCTTAAACTTATTTTTCCTTCTTCGTGTGTGAAATCAAGTCCTTTTCCCCTGCTATCACGCTACCACGGCTATCACGCCACTCGGCTACCACGCCTTCTGTACTCCCACGTCCTTGCATATACCTTTACACCACGGCTATCACGCCACCAGGCTTCCACGTCGCATCCAGAGAGAGAGAGAAAAGTGGCCCGCAATTAATTAGTCTACAGCAGCTATAGTAGACAAAGACATGTAATATGCTTTTTTTTGTGCAACCTTCGACAGCCTCAGGGAAAAAACGCATAACTTTCGGCACCACCAACCGGTATGTTCCCCACACCAACCGTGGCACCACCAAAGCTGGGCCGATTCGGCCTCACGATGGGTCCAATGAGAACCCGGCAACGCGGCAACACATTCGTAGAAGTCCTGTGCTGATTGGAGTCTTGTAGAGCAAGATACAGCTGGTGGGGTTGTTAAGAAATTACCCCACCGGTGGGGTGTGTAGCCGTTGTTTTGACGTACTCACAGCATCGACAGATTATTGCAAGCAAGAAATTCAAATTTCCGAGCAGATGGAGCGGGGAGTTTGGGGGTTCAGCAGTTGCTATGGATTAGACTTGGTGGTACCAACTTTGCCCCATATTACAGGATTGCGGGTGGGGGGTATGTATGTATGTGTGTGTCAACAACGGATATATGCGAAGGTGTACCGATTCTGGTAAAAGTCAATCGACGGATACCCTGCGAATCGGGTCCTCCTTAACACTCTCCACCCACAGAATTTACCCTCAACTGGGAACCTTTTGTGGCCAGGACGGGTAATTCGATGGAAGTGTCACAAGGTTCTTTGTGGGATCGATTCCAAGAGGTGTTCTCAGGACTGACACACATGGTGTCCATGGGAAAATGTCCAAGTAAGTCAGGAGAAAAAACGTGCACCCAAGGAGATTCGAACCAGTTTCCTGCTGTCGCCATAAGCGAAGGTGTATCGATTCTGGTAAAAGTCAATCGACGGATACTCTGCGAATCGGGTCCTCCTTAACATATATGTGGTGTTTGTGTTTTGTGGCTCCTCACTTGTTCTTAAACTTATTTTTCCTTCTTCGCGTGTGAAATCAAGTCCTTTTCCCCTGCTATCACGCTACCACGGCTATCACGCCACTCGGCTACCACGCCTTCTGTACTCCCACGTCCTTGCATATACCTTTACACCACGGCTATCACGCCACCAGGCTTCCACGTCGCATCCAGAGATACCATACCTGAGAGCTATCATGCTCCATCCCAAAGTAGAAGGCTATCACGCCCATCATAGTTCCTACATTGTACCGTTGGCGGCTACCACGCCGCTGGCTCTTTTGTTTCCCAACCACGGGACCCCGCGCGCCAAGGCACCGACGTACAAAGCTACTCAACAGCCGTGCCGTACATATAACTTTGAAACATCCCACTTCGACTGTGTGGGGCTGTATCTCGAACGGCTAATGTAGCCTGTCAGCCTCTGATTCTAGTCTATAGATGTTGTACTTTTTTTCTGCAGAGGAATCCCACACTGCAATCGGACACATACCACCGAGTACATCGGGTTTGAAGACTTAGGGCCATTTTAATCATTCCAAATTTCGGTTCCAAAGTTCCAAAGTTCCAAATATTTGGAACTTGTACGGAGGCGTTCCTCCAAATTTCTTCCAAAAATTTGGAACGAACCTGGGCCCGAAAATTTGGAACGAGTTGGTTCCAAATATTTGGAAGCTTTCCAAAGTTGTGGAGCATCAGTCCACAACCAACCCCAGGCAAGGGCGCCACAGGCCGTACCACAAGGGCTAGGCAACAGCAGAGCTAACTTGGATACTGTCTGGGTCATGGTGGACAGCAGAGAACATGGTGTGACTCCTGTATCAGCGCTTTTTCTCGATCGAGAGGAGATGATGCTCCAGACGAGGTGCACGCAGCAGCTACCTCACCCGACAGCACAGGGCTGAACACAGGGGTGGTCATATCGACGCTCGTTGATGAAAGAAGCAGCAGGCTCTTTTCGAGCCGCGGCACCTATATGGGGAAGAGCACACACTTCCGTGCTTCCTCGCGGACATCTGTAGGCGGCGACACTCTCGAGGATGGATGTACGCATCGATGAACGAGTACGCGTTCAACAACTGATGATGGAGCAGCTGGCACATACATACCCTGGAGCACAAGGACGACTACCAGGCAAGTGGGCAGAGAGGGAGGGAGACGGACATGCCCTGTTTGTCTCCAGTAACCTGTTAGTATACCCTTGTAAGTGTGTTGAAGATGATGGTATCACTTGTATTTAGGACAGCAGACACGATCAGGACGCGGCGGGAGAGAGAGAGTGCCACGACACAGCAAGCACTCCCGCAGGGTCGAGCCCCGTGGATCAACCATGAAACCAACCCAGGGGACTATCAATTCCTATCTGCGTAGCCAATTCCTACAGTCCCGTTGGAATATTCTCATCCGCTCATGCACACACGAACACCCTCCCTGGTTCTTTACGCTAGTAACTAACCACTAGTGGGCATGCACACGCCTGATGTGACGAAAACCCAAACGGACAAAAAACCAACGCGAAAAAATAACAGGGGGAAACCCGGCCTCCGGGTCAAAACCCCCACCAATATTCACCGTTCCACCAGATACTGTCACTGTTGCGCTACCAGAGCAAGATCAATACATGCATAATACCAGTCGCGCGAGGATCCACGCTCGGAATCTATATCTACAAACGTGGGCGGCGTGCTATCATATTCTTCCTGCATGACGTACCAAGATCATAACCCTGTTTCCAACAACGGCCTATCTCAATTCTTGGTGAGCAATAGCGTAAGACTATCCTGAGGAGTTGGTTCAAACAACTACCATGTGGCTGCACTACTATCTGTTCTTCAAACAAACATCAGACAAACATCGAAATCGCCCCCCCCCCCTCGCTGACGTAACACAGCGCACCGGGGCATAAGGCAATCATCCAACATTTTCTGAGCGACACACAACCGGCATGCATTTTTCGACAATCCTCTGTTCTCGTCGACGTACAACACTGATGTCCCAATTTTTCCTCATACGTTCCTTCAGCGGTTCCAACAGTATCCCAGATTCCTGCACATTTCGCAACCTAGAGAACGGCCCCACTTGGCGGCAATCAAGAAGTTCAAATGACTACCAGGAAAATACTGAACATGTGGACGCGAACGCCTCCGAGAAACACGGAACACCCTCCCTGGCTCTTCAACCAAAGTGCACTCATGACAACTAACGAGGATCACCAACTTCGCTACGAATACCATCAAACACCAAATACCGTCAAGAAAGAAGCGCCAATCCAGCACTGTGAGGCGTGTTGCTCCCCTCCCAGCGCTCGTCCCGGCCTGTAGCCTCGCCAGAAAAGGAGTTCCCGTTT